TGGTGTCGAAGGCAGGGAAGGGCGCTGCATCTCCACGGCGTTCCGTGGTCTTCGGGGGCTTGCCTTTGGACTTGTCCTTGCCAGCTCCCTTGGATCGCCAAGACTCCCAGGAGTCCTGCTGCCACCCACCGTAGTCCTCGGATGGGTGCTGCCATTTGGCTTTGTTCTGTGCCCGTCCCATCAACTCACGGTACTGTGGGCGGGAATGATGCAGGGCCAGCAAAGAGGCCGCGCGAAGTGGTCCAGGCCGTCCTGCCTGCCGGGACTTCCAGATGGATCGGCGGGCTCGGGAGCGCCTCAGCCGTAAACGCCTGTGCCACGGCGGTGAGCCCTCCACAGGAATGGCTCCACTGGCGTGCCTAACTGAGAGGCACTGGGGTGCGCCGGCAATAGACTCGGATTGTTCCGAGTCTTCGATCCGAGACCCTATATATATATATATATATATACGTATATACATATGTGCATATGGATACATGTTGTGGAAGGAATCCCTGCAGCATGTTTCAATTCTCTGAGTCTATCTGTTTGTCGTCTGTCCCGCCCTCGTCCCTGCAGTCGGCGACTCGGAGGTTTTACCACACCCAGATCGAGGAGATGCCAATGGACATCGCTGACCTCATCTGAGCACTTGAGCTGTTGGCCATTGTTGGGGTCCCCGTGGTTTCTCAAGTGTTTCCGGATGAAGCGTAGGTTTCTATATGTGAAGCCCTCTGCAAGTTCACTGTATGTCTTGAGATCGTGGCGTTTGATCCGAGTTATGATCGTCACCCCAACGATGTCCACAGAGAGTTTGTCGTCGTCGCGACGTTTTCCGAGCCTTGCTGGTTTCGCTCTCTGCCAGGACACAAGCAGAAGTGCTTGGCGAGAGTTCTCACATACCTGCCTCACACCGTAAAACCACGGAGAAGTTTCAGTTGCGGTTGTTCGAAGAGCCATTTCTTTTTTAGAACAGCTACGAATTTTGCTTTATTGTGATTCGAAGTTGGATGGTGTCGTGGCACCAGTACTCCCCCTGAGCCTGGGAAACTACATGTATAATATCTTACAGCATTGCAGCCGGTACATTCTGATCAGGGCCCCTATTTGGGAGGGGCTGTGGATTGAGGGCACGGGGGTTCAAGCCACATGTTCATGGAGACTTTGGTGGCTCCGTGGTCGTCTATGCGCAGGTGATTGAACTGCGATGTGACTGTCACAGAACTGGGTGATTTTGTGCCACTAAGGCTTCTGCACAAAAAAGGGTGCGTGTCTGCCTGCGTTGAGATTGACGGAGTTTGGTTCATAGCTTTGGCCCGGAGCCCTTGCGAATCCGGACTGCCCACATGCCTTACTGGTGCGGACGTCGAATCCTTAGGCCTAGGATCAGCCTTGCATGAGCCCTTCAAGCCAAGAAAGCCTAGGAAATTAGTATGAGCTTAGTAGGAACGTTCATGACAAGTGTGGAGCCAAAGTCCCTAGAAGAAGTCCCGCAATGGCCTTGCCAGATGCACCAGATATATAGTTAACAAAAGTTAACGAGCACAAGCAAGTCTAAGCGTGTAGCAGTTGTCAGTTTAGCCCTTCCGCTCGCAGGGTCAACGATTGGCAGAGTGTGGAGCAGATCACGTTGGTAGATGGGAGTGGGACTCAGTGTTTTGGGTCTCCAAGCAGGGTGCTGAAATCCTCGCGACCTGCTGGGCGAAGGGTCTCCAGCTGTTGGTTCCGGTTATTTCTGGTCCTGGGCCGACAAGATCCCAGGGTTGCGAATTCGGCGAGCAGGGGCCCAGAAACATGTCCAACGTAATGTAACGGCACGCTTTGGAACATGGGCCTCTTTAGTGCGTTTTCTTCCTTATTCAAGCCGGTACGGGCCGTAACATTACAGAGCTCTGAGTGCTCTGGGCCGAGGACTTATCCATACACCAAGGTTTCCATTCGAGCCTCTCCTCCCTCCGAGCTCAGGCTCAAGCAGCTGCGTTCTTCCCGCACGCAGGCCTGGAACAAAGCAGAGATCCTGGAAGCAGCTTTCAAGCAGCTTGCCCCCTCTGCAAAGGCCCCCAACCCTGAAGCTCTGTAGCTAGGCCGCTAGGCTTACCTTTCCCTTCACAGAGAACCCTTGAGAGAAGCGGATTCGCTGAGTTCAACCTGGCCAATCTCTACCTCCAGTCGCAGCGATTGGACGAGGCACATTGAGGGCGGATCAGAACGGTAGGTTTAGGCCGCTTACGAAATTGAATCGGATGGAAACTCGTTTTCTGAGCCACTCCAGCGAGCCCATTCTCCAAGAAAGCTCTCGTCAAAATCCTGCTGCAGGCTTTAGCGGCCTACAGGCCCCGATCGTGGCTTGTAAGGGTCATAGAGCTACCCGGTCTCGGTTGGCTTACCCAGTCTTGGATGAACTGGCATACTTCGAGCTGCGGGTGTCGCAACCCGCAAGCCGGCGTTTGGCACATTCTGGTTCTATTATGCCAGATAAGCCTTCATGTTGAGAATTGCCTGTAAGCTGGCTTGAACGCGAAATGCCAACCGCAAGATCTTCGCTTATGATCGGTTGAACTGATATCAGCAGGGGGACCACTTGAATGGAAGCTGACAGGCGCTCGGTGGCAGCGGATCCTCTGGAGCCGCATACATCTTGGGGGCTCTTCGGGGTCTTTTGTGTTGAGCGGACCAGGGGGGTGAGAGAGTGCCGTGGTCCTGCGGCATGCATCCCTGCAGAGTCAGATGCGTGTCCGAGACCGGCTAGGATTGCGACTGAACGAGCAGAACTCAACGTTCGTGTGACATAGGTGATGGCATGGCACATCATGAAAGCTTCGCGAGGGATTGGGGGTCTCCGGGCCTAGAGCTGCGGCCGCTTCTGCCTTCTTGGCTCTCGTCAGACCGGTGGGGAGGCTCATCGAGGGTTCGGGTCGTAGGGTGCCCTCACGAATGCCAATGTAGCCCTCCATGGTTCAAGTATCACAACCCTTAATGTCTTCTTTTGTGAATCAGTTTTCCGAACTATCCAGAAGCAGCACCAGAGACGCGGGTCAGACAGGTCCGTAGCATTTTCCACCTGCAATCCGTGGCATTGCAATCGTTTACGCTCCGCGCCGCGTCCTGATTTGTTGATGCGTCGCGGTATGAAGCTGCAGCGTCAAACTTCGAATGACTGTTTTTGAAGATGCAGCAGTGCAGTGCGACAGGTCAGCTTCCGGCAAAGGTTTCGTGTAGCTCGCAGAATCTGATGTACTTGAGTTGAGAAGAAGCCACATCCCCGAGGAACGGGGCCCACCTAGCTGCGAACAGCAGCATCGACGAATGGCCGGAAGCTTGGAAGTACAAAACCTTTACCTGTCATTCGCCGGAGCGAAGGCTGACTCAAGCTGATTGGTCGAAGAGATCCAGGGTGGTTCTCAATCTGGGACCATTCCGGCTCGGGTTTCAAGTCATAGAAGTCAACCTTATCTCTCTGGCCGGCTGAGGTTGTTGTGTCCCATCATCATCATCACCACCATCATCATCATCATCACTTTCGTCGTCGTGTAAGAACCAAATTCCGTTGTGGTTGCAGCAGTCGTAGTCGTAGCAGCAGAAGTAGGAGTAGGTGTAGTAGCCGTCGTCGTAGCAGCAATAGTAGAAGTAGTAGAGCAGCAGCGGACGTAGGCGTAGCCGTAGTCATAGCAGCAAAAGTAGCACCCTAGTACTAGACGTAGTAGTCGGTGTCGTCGTAGTGGTAGTAGTAGTGCTAGTGGTAGTCGCAGTAGCAGTCCGAAGCAGTAGCAGTACGTAGCAGTAGCAGTAGGAGTCGTAGTAGGAGGAGTAGTGGTAGTGGTGTAGTAGTAGTAGTAGTAGTAGTAGTAGTAGTAGTAGTAGTAGTAGTAGTAGTAGTAGTAGTAGTAGTAGTAGTAGTAGTAGTAGTAGTAGTAGTGTAGTAGTGGTAGTAGTGGTAGTAGTGGTAGTAGTGGTAGTAGTGGTAGTAGTGGTAGTAGTCGTAGTCGTAGTAGTCGTAGTCGTAGTAGTAGTAGCAGGAGTAGTAGTAGTAGTAGTAGTAGTAGTAGTAGCAGCACCAGTAACAGTAGGATTCGTAGCCGCAGTAGTAGTAACAGCTAGTAGCAGCAGCTAGAGTGGGCGTGGGGAAGGGGTGGGGATCGAGTAGGAGTGGTGAGTAGGGGTAAAAGTAGGAGCAGGAGCAGCAGCGCAGCGAGAGCTGTAGCAGTAGCAGTAGCAGTCGTAGTTGCAATGGCGATGATAGTAGCAGTGGTAGCAGTAGCAGTCGTATGATGCTCCGGCCAACAAAAGCATGAATACATAGAGGGCTGTGCCCGATACGGGCCGCAAGTCCGCTAGAGTCAGCTGTTCGGCCAAGTCCAGTGGAAGCATTTCTGTGTTTTCGCAGGTGCCATGAGAAGAATCCTTCCGCATGTCACGGTTCTGCTTGAGCCGCAAAGCTTCCATCAAAACCGCAGGGCGGGAAACTACCGCTTTCGCAGGGCACCAAGCTTCTTTGCGTCTTCACGACGGGCAGTGCGAGTGGGCGGCCGATGGGAGGGGGCGGGATTACGTGGCGAAAGCACCATGAGACAACAACCACCTCCAGAAGTTATGGCCAAGTGTCCTGCGACGGCTCCAACCCGTCTCGACCTTGGTGTCACACAGGGCAATGCAAGTGGTGTTCCCCTCATTTACACCAAAGCTTATTTTCCGGTTCGAGCAGATACTCTCCCGACCTGAAGGTCGCCCCGACGCCCTGCTTGGTGGCTGCGCTGGGGAGGACCGAAACCTCCAAGTCGGAGCTAGGGCTGAAAGCTTCGGAAGATCCTCAGTCTTCTAGACAGCACTGTATTTCTACGGCTTGTGGCTACTATGCAGTTGTAAATTTGACTAGTAGGGCTACTGTAGTTCATTCTCAGTGTCTGAGTCCTTGAAAATAACACTACTCGACTGCGCGATGCACCACTTTACTTGCGACAGAGCGGAAGAGATTCAAACTGTGAAACCCTGAAAGCCCTGAAGCTGGAAGCCCTTGATGCCGAATGAATTCCGATGCTTTCCGAGGAGGTTCCACACGACAATTTTCGCAGCGGCGCCTCACACTGCCTGCTGCGCCCTGCTTTTCTCAAGTTCGGTGAATGCGCGATGCTAGCTGATGGCGTGTTATTTCCATTCCGTGTGATTCCTGCAGATCACATTACTTGCCCGCTACATATTGTGGCTTGAACAAATACTGACTCAATGTGCATCACAGCCCCGCTATGGTGCATCACAGCTCATTGGGATTGAGACGTTCTTGGTTGCAACGTTTCTCCAGATGTTTCCGGTCCAGGCTTGGAGCCTGCTTACATGCAAGCTCAAGGGCATTCTACAATCCGGGAGCTCGCAAGCCACGGAGCTGAGGTGCTGCTTTGCGTTTGTGTTTGTTTCCTTCGTCCTCGCGTCGGGCTCTCAGCATCGAAAGTTGGGGTTGGGAAGCAGGGCAGGGGGCAGAGAGGCTCTTTAATGCTTCATGAAGTAACGTAGGTCGTCTCTGACCAGTTCGTATGGTTCTGAGTTGTCGAATTCGGTTTCAGCAGCGCCTACGCCTGAGCCCGCCTCTTCTGAGTTCTGTTTCGTGGACGGGCGCACCCAAAAGCGACGTTGTGCTACTCGGTGCTGCCTTGATGTTCCTTGTTTGTTGCCCTGACTCCTTTTTGATGTTAAGTTATTAGCTTTCTTGTTTGCGGGTTCCCTCGGGGGAAACCGACTGCAAGACGCCGAGTCACACCAGTTCGCACTTCGCAGAGGCTTCCGGATGGCCACCGTTAATTACTGATTGTCTATGTTCCTACCGCTGAGCAGGGCTTCGAGCCTGAAAGACTAAGAAAGGAAGTGATGTTTACAACCTTGTCTGTGTCTATGGAAGGGTTCTGCATCTGGGCAAGACTGCACAACATACGTCTGACGTCGGAGGTGGATGCTGGGGGCTTCGTCTCTATCCGTCGCTTCGTGCATGCCTGGAGCGTGCATGCGGAGGCTGTGACGTGCATTGAGGGCCGGGCGGGCGGATTGTATCGGCGGTATAAAATTCTAACTGTTTCTTGCGCTAGAACCCCATGCTCATACAGTAAGGTTCACTTAGACTTAGCCCGACTTTTGAAAAGCTTCGTGCAACGTCCATGCCCCAGCAACGTCATTTTGCCAGGCCGATGAGAGCAGGGGCACGATCAGTGCTCCACCTCCGACAGCGTGGACAAAGGCCGATGCACGAACTCCGGGAGAAGAGATCAGGAGGATTCATGGGGAGACGGGTTCTGTTTAGGATTCATGGTCATTCATGGTTCAAGATGCGTTTCTGGACACAAACATTTGATTGCACAATCGGTTGATGAAACAATTGTCGCAATAGAAACAACTTTGCCGTGACGGAACCACATGGCCTATGTCGCACAAACTGCGTGCCAGAGTGTCGTGAATCGTCGCTTCTGAGTCTCGGATCTGCGCCTAACTACAAAAGCTTCTGTAGTCTGAAGTGACTTCATTCCCTAGGAGCCGGGTCTTGTTTATTATCCGGCCGACGGTCGGATCATGTTTTGCAAGCGGCAGCTTGATGCCAGGCGGCTCGCCATGATCCTGTCAGTAAACATCCTTACAAGCAAGGGTGTACGGGTGTGCCGTTTGGTACTTGAAAGCTGCTGCTCTGACCGACGGCATTTTTTCGAGGAAAAGAGACCCGGCCCGAAACCCTGAAACCCCAAAACTGCGCCAAGCGCTCGGCCACAAATTCTGGCTCAAGGCGCCCTTGCATGCTGCCACAAGAAAGGGGCAGTACTACCAGGCGACCTAAGCCATGGTGCATGCAATGGAAAAGATGCTTTGCGAAAACTGGACTCCGGTTGATGTGACTACCTGTGCTCCTTTTGACTTGTGCTTCAAATCGGAGGGACTCCTGCGTCGTGGTAGTAGTGGTACCAGTAGTAGTAGTAGTAGTAATGGTAGCAGTGGCAGTGGCACTGGCAGCCGCAGCAGCAGCGTGGAAAGGTCGTACTGGTACACTAGCACCAGTACAATCTAGTACAGCAGCAGTAGCCCTACTACAAGTACCGGTACACTGGTGGTAGTGGTGGTCGTCGTCGTAGCAGTAGTCGTCCTCGTCGTTGTCGTAGTAGTACAAGTGGTTGTTGATGATGTTGTGGTAGTGGTAGTGGTGCTGGTAGTAGTCGTCGTAGTAGTACTGGTAGTAGTAGTAGTAGTAGTAGTAGTAGTAGTAGTAGTAGTAGTAGTTGTAGTAGTTGTAGTAGTTGTAGTAGTAGCAGTAGCAGTAGTAGTAGTAGTACTAGTACTAGTACTAGTACTAGTACTAGTACTAGTACTAGTACTAGTACTAGTACTAGTACTAGTACTGGTACTGGTACTGGTACTGGTACTGGTACTGGTACTGGTACTGGTAGTAGTAGTAGTAGTAGTAGTAGTAGTGGTGGTAGTAGTAGCAGTAGTAGTAGCAGTAGCAGCAGCAGTCGTAGTAGTAGGAGTCGGAGTCAGGAGTGGGAGGGGGAGTGGGAGTAGGGAGTAGGACTAGGGCTAGGAGTAGGAGTGCAACTAGGAGTAGTCGGAGTAGTCCTTTCGTCGTGCTAGTCGTGGTGGTCACAGTGGGGGTGGTAGCAAGAGTAGCACGAGTAGCAATGCAGCATTGCAATTACTTGCATGTTCAGACTCTTGATCACTTAAGGGACAAGTCGAGTGAGTACCGCCGATTGGGCAGCCTCGACTACATTTTCCCCATGCATCAACTTTGCAGAGAGAACTATTTTTCGGTGTTTGTAGTCCATCATACCGTTACATGTGTGTGTATATATATATATATATATACGTATGATATTCGTATAGAAAATTGCACATACATATATGCGACACTTCTTTCCTGGTACTCGTAAGTAGGCTGAATGTTTTGGAATCTCGAGCATTCCGCATCCCCTCTTCGCGTTAGACCTAGAACAAGTCGTAGGGTAATGTACGTTCAGGGTGCAAGTCCGTGTTGGCTGAGCTATGCTGTCGTTAAATAGAGGCTTACACTGCTGAGAGCGAATCCTGCGCAACATATCCGTTGAGAAAGCAGCTGCAACTGAGGTACACGGTTCCTTTGGAGATTCTCTTGCAAATGAAGAGAATACGGACACATGAGGAGATGTTGGCGGACAACGAGCTCACACAGTTTGAGGAGCATATGGGAAGAGCCATGTTTATTTCCCACCAGTGGCTGCTACTTCCAAATTGGCACATGTTGGCATCATGTAGCCAACCGGGGGATGTCGATGGACAAGCTTCTTCATTATTCAGTGTCAGCACAAACGCAGCTCCCACAGTTTTGCCTTGCGTACTTTATGTACTGGGCTTTGCATGTAAACACGCTGAAGACGCATGAGTCGTGAGAGACCTTACGACGTAGGGAGAGGAAACATGAAGGGGACTGATTCTGGTCTGGTGGAGCTCAACAGTTCGCAGCCAAAGCCAAGGCTCGGTAGCAAGCATCCAGATCCCTGTGGCCAGCAGATGAAGGTGCTGCAGGAAGCGCTGTCAAACATCCTTTCTGGTACCAGCCAGGTGTCATTGCCCATTGTGCTGCTCAGCTTGCAATGACTTCCGTGAAGCATCAAAGAGCAATGACGAGCCATTGTAGTTGGTTCCAGCACATAGCTCGGATCATGGTTGTGGAAATTTGAAGCTGTGAGGAGACTCTCATTCATGGCACCCTGTAGAGACTGTGCAAAAAGCACATCTTTACTGTTGCTAGCAGAGACAGCCAAGGACCGAGATCATTCATGGCAGATGGGCCTGTCCTACTTCTACTGAGTTCAAGTCCCAGGAACTCTTCATTTGGCAACTTGGATCGGAAACCCCGGAAAGGGCTACATCCTGCTGCGTTGAGCAACTTTTGGTGGCAAGGCTAAATTGCATGGTTGTGTTTGCCTGTTCGTCCGTTTGGCTGTCTCTCTCTGTCTGCTTGTACATGCATCTGTGCTTGTTTGCCGGTCTGTTTGTCTGTTTGGGTACGTGGGTTCGAGGGCGAGCCCGGGTAGGTCGGCACAGGTATGATTATTTCTGCTGCCCACAAGATGCATCTGGACCTGCAGCTCACAGCCGGCAGCGCGCCATCTACAGCATTCCTTCTTACATCGCGACTGAGCATTCAAAGTGGCACAGTGTTCAGTTTCGGGCACTGCTACTGCTTCCTGCACCTGGAAAACGCTTTGGATTGAAGTACTGGTGCTCGTGAACCCCACTTAGACGGGACTCTTCAGTTCCAGGTGTTGCCTGAATCAGGATCCGCAAGCCTGCAGCCTTAGACCTCCTACATCGAAGCAAGGCCAAGTGCGAACTCTTCGTGATTCTTTGCCCTGCCCTGCGGCATGATGACAGCTCCGCGTTGAGCCAGGCATCTTTGTGGACAGGGTCAGCGCTCCAAAGTTCAACAGCGTTGAGAACTGTTTGTTTTATCTGTCACCCACGAGAATTTGGGAGCTGATGTTCATTGTTCTGCGAAGTAAGCATCAATGCTTTCCACTGTTGCAAACCCCCGCTTGTTGCTCGGTGGGTAGAGTACTGAGGGGTTGCCAGGATGGCATTCTGACCAGAAGACAAGCTCAGTGGCAAAATGTCCACTGAGAAGTGAAACACCTGCGCTTGCACAAAGCAACACTCGGAGGTGAAACAGAAGTTCCCGATCTGCCTGCACTTGCCCGGCGCACCCCACACTCTAGTACACCATGCAGAGCTTCGGCGGGCAGAGCTCTATGGGCCTCCTTTGCCTTTGGAATGGAGTTCCCTGCCTTGAAGATGCAGTCACGCAAGACTGCACTCAAGACTGCACTAGCACCCGTTTGCCCATGGTGTCCACCCAGCCACCCACCCACCCACCCACCCACCCACCCACACACCCGCACACCCGCACACCCACACCCACATACACGCGCACACACACACACACACACACACACCCGCGCGCACACGCACTCACAAATAAAAGGAAGGGCGCTGCTGCAAAGTTCTGAGCCGGCAGGATTCAAAAGCGAGAGCTCCAGACAGAGATGCCAAAAAGCAACCGTCTTTCAGCAGTCACTTAATTATTGGGGGGAGTTCTGGAGCCCGGACCGTTAGAGCAACATGTTATGTTTGATCCGTTTTTGAAGGCAACTTGGGCCGAGCGCGGCTGGTGCCGCACGGAACGCATGGCCCATGCCCTGGCAGTGCTCCGGCGCAGAATCATTGATTCAGTCTGGGATATGGTGCAAGGCTTGCATGCTTTGCCATGGGCGCTTGAGAATGCACGTGTCCAGACTAGTTCAAACAGAAATTCAGACCAGACGATCGCTCCAGTGAGTTGCCGTCGTACAGTCTGCAGTCTGCGCAGCATCCATTCTTAGAGAACGTGAGCGGCCGAAGTCGTTGTGTGCGTCGTGCAAGTTGTTAGCAGCCTCTTTCTTTCTCGTATTTTCAGATCCGCAGGGATGAGTAGGATCTACTGAGTCATAGAGGCTTTGTTCGTCCCAGCCTAGTAACATGAAATGCTAATAGCGGACTTGCAAGTATGTATGGCCGAGAAGCTTTGGTACGTCTTCGCAGGTGCGCAAGCATGCTTCCATCCTGGTGGTCGAAAGCGGCATGCACCAGACCTTGGCCGGAGTTGTGAAAAGCAGCTTTTTTGTTTTGTAAAGCACATGCAACACAACTCGATTTGCTACCGAGGTTTGTGAGGGGTTGTAGTAAATCGCTGGCATCACAGACCCTGTTTCGCTTGCTGCCACGGAAAATGTCGTCTTTTCTTTTAATATCCCACTAAATCTGCAATTGTCAAACTTGGCACCGCAACCTCCACGCGGATTTAGGGCAGCTTGGGGCTCCGGCGTCACATTGGAAGATGCAGCAGGGCGTTTAGGAAATAAGGGCGAGGGTGTTGGAGCGTTTAGTTCGGTTTCCGAAGACTTGCTCACGCGGTGCCCCTGAAGGTCGGTGAGGCTCATGGAATGCTCAACGCGCCAGGGGAGGGCAAATTTACAGATGAGTCGGACCGACAAAGCCTTGGGCCAGTGATCGTGCCTCGGCCGTCAGGGTTCGTCCAACTTCCCCTTGCAAACCACGATGCATTGTGACACAACATCACGCAGAGAAGTGCAGGTCCAGATGGTTTGGAACAAGCTCGTCTACTTCCTTGAGCAGGGTGACTGGCACAGCTATCGATGCTTGCTGAACGAGCAGCGAGTGCGATACCTCAAGAACCTGGATGTGGATCCCATTGATGGACTGATACTTAAACCTCCCACGAAGCTTGGTCCCATTGCTTTGCTGCATGTCGAGTTGGCTTTCGCGGTCTAGACGAGTACTGCCACCGCAACGCTGGAGCTTTGCCATGCCTTTGCGGGTTGTAGGGCGAGGTCGTGCAACAGGCTTGTACGAGGGGTTCTAATCCAAGGAATATCGATCCTTTTTCATCGCCGCAGGCCTTCGCGCTCGCAAGGTGGCCGTGTTGGAACAATGTGGGTGGTTGTCAAAATTATGGTCTTGTTTTGGGCACTCTAAATATTAGGTGCCGTACTATATAAGGGACCCTAAAAGGGCCACAATTTTGACAACCACCCATGTAGATACCCTCACATGACTCACATGCTTCAGGAAAGTTTTGGGGGTGCTTGACCAGGAGAATCCTGTATGTGTAGGCACAGATACTTTGCCGGCTTAGCTTGGCATGCACAGCCCCGCAAAAAAAAAGCAAACTCACACACATACACACACACACACAAACACACACACACACACACACACACTTAGACATCCATCGCGCAGCCACTAGTCAATCTGGTTATCAAGCACCGCTTGATGTATCTCGAAAGCATGAAGCTTTCAGGGGGTCCGGTACCTGTCTGGCCTCAAGGCTCATCTTCACTTGATCTCTGACTTTTTGACTGTACAAGGCAAACTCTCCCAGACATGCACATGAAACTGCACTGCACTCCTACTCGCAATCAACAGTTGTGTGGTCACAAGCTGCACAAATGTGCCCATGCCGACCACTGCAGGTACGTTTACCTGTCTCAATATCACGGAGCTTCATTGGCAGAGGCCGTGAAATGAGACCCTCTGCCCCCTGCTATTTCCATCAATTCAGCGCGACTGTCCAGAGTGCTGCAAAAAACGGTTCCTCTTGGCAACAGAGGTCCACACACACAGTAAGCCACTAAGGCGAACAACCTAGGATCTGTGATCCAAACGAGGACGGTTTTCGTCCGAATACGGCTCAGCCCAGTGAAAGGTCAATGGTACTGTATTGTTGACAGTACTGAGTTTGACATAGTACGGTAAATGAGTCCCGCTTTGCGTGATTTTAAACGTACGCTTGGGGAGGTGATTCCACTCCAAACTAATGGCCTCTTTAAGGTCGTCGATAATGCCTTCGGCCGGAATGTCGAAACATGCAACCGTGGCACCATGATGGCGGCCATCAGAAGGCAAATTTTCAATCCAAAATCCTCGGGTCTTCCGCAGCGGAGGCAGATGCTTCGGTGTCCGAGGAAGAATAAGAGGATCTTCATCTTTACCGCCATCAGGAGGGAGTGACGCTTGTGCTGCATCTCGTTTCATGGCGGAGAACACCACACGTACACTAGGTCACTGATGCATGAGAGCAGAAAACTGTACAGGCACTTGCTCACACTGCTTGCAGGGCAAACGTATAGGATTCAAGTCAAAAGGTCGTGCCCTTCTGCATATGCGTTCCGCATTGCAACAGTCTTTTTCCATGCATGAAAGACTCCAGAAAGCTTAGGCCTCATTCTGTACATCGGAATCCGGCAAAGCTCTGGTGTTGCGTACAGAGTACTCCAAGCCAGGCCAGCTGACTCCCCAATCCTGCCCTTCCCCCGTTTCAAAAGTAATGGGCCTGGGGTTGTTGGGGGTGGACATCGGCAAAGAAATGGAGTGGGTGCTTGACAAAATCCAGATTTTGTCAATGCGTCCGGCGGCCTCCCGCACCGCCCAGCGCTTATCTCCCGAGGGGGAGTGCACTAGCGCGTGGAATTTGCACAAATGTCCTTCATGGACAGTGCTGGAGGATTTGGATTTGTGATGCGCAGATCCAAGATATCCTCCAACGACCACTCCAGCGGAATTCTTCGTGGAGTGGTGCAATTTCGACACGAAGTCTAATTTGCTCTCTTCATAATACACGTTTCGTGTGGCCTTGCCATAAAAGGAGCACACATGATCGTGCGGCGCAACATGTACAGCTTCAGCGCTAGAGCGAATAACTCTGCCCAGCGTGAGGATGCCGACCAGGCCTTCGGCTGTGGTCCCGTGTCCCCAAAGATAATAGCAGTTGGTCTGCTCTTCAGGTCCTGGCATATGTGCCACTGGAAACTCCCAAACATGCAACGCTTCCTGAGGCATGGCATACGCCTTGGCATCATGCTGAAATATTGTTTTGTATGGTATCTTGCTGGCCAAAATGGACCGGGCAAGAGTGACAACCTCCCGTTGGCCAATGGGAATCACAGGCAGAAAAGGTCGATCGGCCTGGCCAAACCGGGTCAACAAAAATCGCAGCACTTCCTCGACATCCTCTTTGAGGATCTTGGAAACAGGCAGTGAACGTTGCCGAGTAAATGTAATGCGATCCGTAAATCGTCGCATATGAGAATGCGGGATAATAGGCCACGTATGTAGGCCTTCAGTCGTGAGAAAATTCTCATGATAATGCACAAACATATATGCCAAGAGAGGGCTCATTCCTTCCTCGTAGAAATCCACAGCATTGCGGCCAGTGGCTCGAGCTGTGATTTGCTCGCGCAGTTGCTCGTAGCTGCTGCGATGAGTTGCTTGAAATAACTGCTCATCATCAACCGAAATCGAAACGGGCTGAGCAGGATGAACTGGGCTCTTTGGAGCCGGGTGCTTAGGAGGCGTCTTGGGAAATGTTCTTGTGAGCCTCCGATGAGGGAGCTGTCCCGGAGGGCTCCTTGTTATTCGAAATCGGACCTGTATCCGGTTTGCTTTGTACATTGCTGGAAGTTCCAAAAGCTTCAGCAGCGCGATGCAAGGCATCAGTGGCCGCGTGTGAGCGAGAAGCAGGAGCTCGCTCTCTGGGTGTTACCGGCCTTTGGCTCGGATTGCCAGCAGAAAAACTGGGCAACCATTGCCCGGGAGGTCGCTGCGGACTGTTGCTGGGCCCTCTGTTTTTTCGAGGCCGGGAACGGAAAATGTCCGGCTCAGTAGAACTGGGTCTAGGCCGGGGTGGCATGTTGTCAAAGCTGGCTGAACGAAAAGGCGGACGCACCGGAGGAGCTGCACTAGCAGACCTTGTTGGTGGTCGAACTGGAGGCAGATTGGGAGGTAGAACAGGTCGAACCGGGGCCGCGGGAGGTCCCTCAGGTTGACGTTCATGCCGATGATGTCGACGCCGTCGTCGTCTCGAACGACTGCGATCACGACGATCACGGCTCGGATGAGCAGACCTAGTCGGCTCTCCCGGTGCGAATTGAATCGGAAGAGGAGCTCGAGGTGGCGGATGCACCGAAACCGATCGAGCTCTACTTGCTTCATCCGGAGTCGTATGGATCGTAACAGGAGGCTGTGGTCCGCTTGAAGGCAGCACCCCAGGGGGTCCTCCGTAGAAGTGAAAATGATATTGTTGGGCCATGGCTCGGGGTTGAACAGTTCCCTCGACAGGCCGATACACAGCTGAAACCAATGCAGCTGTGGTATGGACTCGATAACACTCGTGCACAAGTAGGAACAACAACCTTGCAAAAAGGCACCAAAACACTCATCGAATGTGTCATTTGCTGACTTCATTGCAACGCCTTCGCAGGAAAACCTGCCTGTACATACAATTGCTTGAGTCTGCGAAGCTGCCCCGGTATCGACTCGGGGGGCCAGGAATACTGGCGAATCAAAGATGCTCGAGAAAAATATCCCGAGGCTGCTAGCTGCCAAGATCCGGCACTGTTGGGTGAGCGGATCTGCCACGGTTGCTCCGGAAGATTAAAAGTTGCTGAGCGAGTCTTGGCACAAATCGTAAAGCCCAACCATTGATGGTCTGATACAGTTTCCAACTGAATCCCATCATAAAAGTTGGGATCACAAAATCTCCGGAGTTGGGACGACTGTAAAATTTGTTGAGGTCCCAGAATCAGTCTGTTATCAACGTAACGAAGAAATAAGAAAGAAGATTGGATGGCTGCTGGCAAAGATTGCAAAAAGTGCCGCTCGGCCATGAGTACAGGGAGCCCGGAAAGGATCGGAGAGACTTGATTGCCTATACACGTCCCCTCCACTTGCTGGCGACACTTTCCAGCAGCAGTAAAAACTCCCGTGGCGAAGGATAGATCCACAATCCTTGGAATATCTGAAACCCAACACCTTTTCAGACTGGATTGGGTTTTTCCCCGTGGTTTGCCCGGGTGTCCCGTTTTGGACAACATGTCGATCGAAAGGATCGAGCAGCCAGAAATTTGGCAATATTCCTGGACAATCAGATGGACTGAATGCATAATGTCCTTTCGGGGAACTGCGTTGAAAAATCCCACAAGATCGTCGTTCCATTCGACGTTTTCTTCCTGGCTGGGCTTCGCCCAGTAAGCGTGAAGAGACTTCCATAGCTGTGGCATGCTCTGCATGCCGGGGCTGTCAGTAAACAGCGTCTTGACCATTAAGGTTAACGCAATGGAAGTCAGCTGTAACAGTTTGCTGCACAAAGAATTGGAATACGAAATAATAGTCCGTCCCTTGGCAAACTGTTTTTTCCGTTTCAGGAACACAGTGCCCTGAGGCAGCGGAGCGGCTTCTGTGAAAGCCCAGGCATATCTTCTGGACAGATCTCCCGGAACGCGCTTCAAAATGCGCTGTCGCCACTCTTCTGGCGTACCATCAAGAGTGCAAAACACTGCGGGATCGTTCCATGTGTTGCTGACTCCTCGAAGGAAGAAGCGAGGACAATAGCATACAACATGATTCGGATGATGATCTTCGTTGTACAGAACCTTCTGTACCAAAGCCCAGTGTAGTCTGTCGGATTGTTCCAGGGCTGCGACGTGTTGCTGCCACTGGTGATCGCAAAAAGATTGAAAAATCGGATGCAACGTCGCTGGTAGCTTGTGTCTCTTGAGCCACTGATCAAACAGAGCTCTGGACTTGGCCATCCAGTGATTGCGGCCGGGGAGAAAGGTGCTCGCGGCACTGGCCGATAAGATGCTCTTGCAGTCTGGCAGTAGCTTGGTCAGGTTCTCCAAACCCGTGGCTACATGGCCAGACACAAAGCAATGAGCAGGAAGTTTTCCTGCAAACTGATTACACGGACAGTGAACCGACTCCAACTTGAAGTCGTGTTCCCACATCGTTTCTTCCCAAGATCGGAAATTATGGAGAAATTTCCTGATACTCTGGTGCGGAACTTCACGTAGGCTGTTCTTTGGAACATGAAAAGATGGAAAAAGATACTTGTAACGCAGGATGAGGTCTTTTAACCACTTCTCGCACTCCTTGGAAAACGAAGAAGACGCCGTTGGCAGGACTCCCAAAGATCGGGAGGTGCGTGGCCAGTGCATCTTTTTCCGAAATTTGACTACACCTTTGAGTAGTCCTTGCACCCTGTTGCGATGAGGGTTTTCAATGTTGCGACTGAGCTTGATGAGGGCATACACTTCCTCGTCAGCCGTCTTATTGGATCGGAGCAGTTTAGTTGTTTCAAAGGCTGCTCGGGTTCTTGATCCGAGCTTGAACAGAAGCCCCCAGGCTAGTTCCCGAGAATCTTGAATGATAAATTTCGAACTGCGACCGAACATGCGCTTTCGCAGTTTGCGACAAAGTCGGAGGCCGAAGGTGCCATACAATGACGCTCGGCGTTGGGAAGAAATCCGAAAACCAAGAGCTGTCTTCTTAATGAGAGACATTGCTCTAGGATAATTCAAAGGTGCCTGCCATTGAGCGATGAGTTCGTGCTCAACGGTCCAAGCTTGCTGGTAGCTCTCATAGCATTCCAGCGGGACAAGTACAAACTGAAAGAGGTTCAGATGGGACGCCCAATACCTCAGGGATAATTCAGCATCCACAAACTCAGTTCTTTGAAGTCTTCTGTATACTGCCATGCGGTTCAAATGCCGCTTGGCTGCACCGACAGCAGTGCTTCCCACATACAGAAGTGAAGAGGGCTGACGGTAGCCCGAACGAAATCGACCCATGTCGAAATAAACTTGAAAAATGCAATACACAGTGTTCGGCTTCTCAAACAGAGAATAGTGCAGAGTATCTGGATCCACTCCGAACTGCTGCAACTTCCGAACGAGTTTGGACCTGTGCGAATCTTCCCGGCTGGGTGCGTTGAGATAAAACAACAACACCAACGACATCAGCGTATGCACCCAAATTAGTGGAGCCTTGGGTATTCCATCGCCAAACTCCAACATGAAGGCTGCTGCTGTGCCAAGCGTGCACACTGCTGACGCAAGTCTCTTACGGACCTGAATCGGCTGGTGTTGCACCGTTTTTGCTTGGGTAGCTAGTCAAGCTGATTCAAACTGACATGCACCAATGAATGAAGACAAATTGGTGAAGGACATCTTGCTTGCATGGCTTTTCTTCAAGCCGTACTTGACAGCAAGGTCTGCCACGCTTTGCCGATCAGTGGCTGAATCTTTCAGCACAGAGCAAACATCAGCCACATGTTTCTTAAAAGATGCAGCTTGACCACGAAACTGGCTCTGATGCTTCTTGAGCCATTTCTCTACGACATCAGGTGAGCTGGAACTCGGAACAGAGTTCGGCGGATTCTTGAGTTCCGCTTTCAAAATCTGCTCAGCTGAAGGTGAGGGTGAAGTGGTGGGAAGCGGGCTGGTTTTTGCCTGCTTCTTCTCCGGAGTAAGAGCAATTCCAGCTTCTTTCAGCTTGCGCTTAGCACGAGCAAGCTGTTCACTCTCAGGCGATTGCTGGCTGGAGTCCGCCGGAGGAGGCGAATTGGCTTTGATTGTTGAAACAATTTCGCCAAGCAATGGTTGCATAAATCTGGCTGACTCTTTATGCTTGTCTGGCGGAGCCGGGCCGTGCATATTTGCTGCCACGGCATCAAGATCGATGCGGTCTTGCCGGATGTGACGAAGCAAGTTTGACACAAAAACTGCTTCAGAAATCGACCTCACGAACACCAGGCTCTGAAATTCTCCGTTGGACAAACATCGGAGACTGAAGTCATCGAGACCTTTCCGCGTCAGGTCTGAAACACGTAGATCTGCCACATCTTTTCCAGCCAGTCCAGCTTTGGTAGACCAGGGTGTGGATTGGATGTTGCGAAAGAATCTCTTGCCCGAAATAGCATTCGTGTCATAGCACTCCCAGTCACTGGTAAAAGACGATGGGATAGCAACATTGGTGCTGGGAACGGAATATTGAGGAGATTTTTGCCAGTCACGGTTGTTCCAACCCGACGATCCTTTCTTTTCCCAAGACGAACTAGCCCAGGACGATTTGGCCCAATCTTGTTCACGGGTCCAAGACATGATCGGAAGAGATTCCTACGGGCTTGTGTCTCGGAGCTGAAATCGTGGTCTGCGGATAGAAAAGCCGTTGGTTCCATCGGATCTGCAAAAAATCTCGACCTGCAATGAAACCTGGCATCAAACCTGACATGAAGTCAGGAACAAAGATAACATCCCGACTGAAGTAACCGGATGTCGGCACCATCAGAGCAGCAAATCCAGTCGGACCTGTGAGGACCACGACGGGCCCAAAAACACTTATCCCTGCCTTTAACAAATCAACTCTGGCAGGTACTCGCACGGGCAGACCCCGTCGCAGGTAGCGCGGTAAACGAATACAAGACCAGCTTGTAACTACCTGGGACACACTTAGACATCCATCGCGCAGCCACTAGTCAATCTGGTTATCAAGCACCGCTTGATGTATCTTGAAAGTATGAAGCTTTCAGGGGGTCCGGTACCTGTCTGGCCTCAAGGCTCATCTTCACTTGATCTCTGACTTTTTGACTGTACAAGGCAAACTCTCCCAGACATGCACATGAAACTGCACTGCACTCCTACTCGCAATCAACAGTTGTGTGGTCACAAGCTGCACAAATGTGCCCATGCCGACCACTGCAGGTACGTTTACCTGTCTCAATATCACGGAGCTTCATTGGCAGAGGCCGTGAAATGAGACCCTCTGCCCCCTGCTATTTCCATCAATTCAGCGCGACTGTCCAGAGTGCTGCAAAAAACGGTTCCTCTTGGCAACAGAGGTCCACACACACACACACACACACACGCGCGCGCACACGCACACACACACACACACACACGCGCGCGCGCGCGCGCACACGCACACACGCACGCGCGCAGTCACATTGCTGCAAAGAGTTCCGCGGCATGCCCCACAGGTTTCTCCACCAGAACGGGTTTCAAAACCCACTGGAGCGGGACGCAAAGGGATGGTCGCCTTTGTGCTTTGCAGCGATGAACGGCGATGCTATTCTTGTGGAGGCCCCTTGGGCCTATGGGCCTTAGGCCGAATACAGCGCTGTTGGACAGTTGTCTTTCAAACTGCTTTTTTGGGAGCTCAAAAGTGCCAGCTTCCTTCGTGTATTCGGCAGGCTATTAAGTGTCGCGCAGTGCCGCCCGATCGACATGGGGTACCGTGGAAGTGCACATGCTAGCCTTTTGGTTTATTTTACTTCGAGTCTTGGTGCAGCTGTGACATTTGTGGGCAAGCGCAGTCCCAAGCCTTTTGTGACCAGTCCTAATCAATCGTACCTGCAGATTTCCCACGCGCGACCTTGTTTTGCGCCCAGTTGGTGTTTGAGGGGTGTGTTGTCTTCCTCCTACGTTGTTGCAGCCAGGTTTGTGTCGAGTGCCGTGAGCAAGTTTTTTGCGAATGTAAGTGCGCGTGGACTTGACATGTGGCCGTTTACGGCACGTGAGTCTGTGGGAAGTGGGTAGTTTGGCGGACGGGGAGCAGGTGTGGCAGCTAACGCACTACTGTAGCCGGGTGTTGCTGTTTTGTATGCAAGCTGCACTAACTTGAAGTTGCTACCGGGTAAATATTATTATATTGTTCGGCACGCAAGCGGGTGTGTGTGTGTGTGTGTGTCAAACCAGAAAAGATGTTTGGAGCCATGTGTAACGGTGGGCTGCAAGAAGCAATGCCGCCTTGTCTGGAGGGATCGCGGTGCAGTGGGGCTGGAAAGATTGTGGGGTAACTTCGGCGGCTGAGTGCAGATTGGAAAGAGTTCAAAGGGATTTGGGAGGGGTCAGGACTCGGGTTTTGGCGACTTCAGCAGTTGGAGGACAATTTCTGGGTTTGGTGGTCGTGATGCGTCGCGAAACAGCAAAATTCAGCATTCCCGGCCAGCAAATAGAGTCGAGCCGGTCGAGCCTTGTTGGCCCGAAGAGCACCGTTGAGTCGAGCCCGGTCGAGCCCGGTCGAGCCCAAAGAGCAAACGCAGAGGAGAGAGAGTCGAGCCCAGTCGAGCCCAGTCGAGCCGGTCGAGCCAAATCTTCGCAAACCGCAAAATTTGCAAAATCGAGTGTTTTCTTCCGACATCATGCGTTTTTTCCAAAAAACATGCCCCACGTCGGAGACTTCGGAGAATTCAGCGAAACTTAGCTAATTTTTACGCGCGCCGTTACAGCAACTCCCAGGCACGAGACTTATCACGACATCTTGCTTGCTTTCATGTGAGAGTGTGCCGCGGACGTTTTGGTGCCGTAGTCTGAAGCCACTGCTCGCCCAGTCTGTGAAGATTTGCGAAATTAGGAGGGGGTGGGTGTAATAAGTGCACCGTCAAAACCCATAATTGCGCAAAGCCCTAAGACCCCGAATCTTCTGATGTAGCTTTCAATATTGTGCAAGAACTTACAAATGCTTTACTATAAAACTTAAAACCTAAACGCTATAAGCCTTAAACCTGTCCGCCTCGAGCATGGTTCTTTACCTCCACCTTCGTGCGCGTCGATGTCCCGTTGCACAGCCATGCCGAATCCACGGCTTATGGGTCAATGATGCCGCCTTCTTCAAGTGTGCCCATGTCTTCTTGAACATCCAGCACCTAACCAGAGATCCGCCCATCTTCGCGTGCATCCATTCCTTGTAGTGGTATAAAGACGTCTAGGTCCAGGTGAATCGTGGTTGGCTTTCTCCGCATGTACGGAAGCTCTGAGCCCTATCGGCGAGGAGAAGCCGGTCTAGATAAAGAGCAGTAGGGTTCTCGCCGAATCAGTGTGAATTGTGTAAGATGATCATCTAAACACCCAAATGCGGCCCGCGGGGGGCTCATGTGACTCCTAATACGGCAGGCCCTACTGGACAGCAAGGCTGACGTGAACGATGCCATCACAAAAGCAAAGAAGGAAATGATCCTTGCCCGCTGACATGGTGTCTAGGACCTTCCTGACAAAAGCTGAGCACATTGCCTTCGTTTTCCCGTTTGGCACATGGGCTGAGAATTTGCGACCCGATCTCGGGTTCAGGGAGTTTAGGGCGTGGGGTGCGCAGCAGGGTCAGGAGATTCATATCCCCATGGTGGCCCGCAGTCGAAAGCCCTCATGTGGTCACTGATGATTAGTTCAACTATTTAGGAACACCCACGGGCAGGAAACCTTGTTTGCACTGCGGCGAGCGGAACCTATTCTGCACTTCCGCCTTACTTCATAGCACAATGGCCAACTTTTGGGCGAGTGTCCAGCACTCTCAATCCAAGCCTTTTCCAACTTAAAGCCACCATCCATGGAGAATTTGCGCGGTGCCCCGAACATGACCTATATGCCAAGGAGCCTTCCAAAAAAGATGTCGGTGTTGTCCATTGCGGCATTCTACCACAGCAGTGAAGTAATGCAGCTGCTGTTGGCACGGAGGGCCAAAGTGATGCTGGGCCACGTGAGTACATAGGCCTTTGCTTGGGTGGTACGTTGGTGCTTCCATGCCTTTGAGAGGAGAGCATCACCGATGACTGTAGATTCCATGCAGCGACGCTTGAGGAGGTGCTGCCAGTCTCGACTGCACACCCGTCGTGGACCTCCTGTCCTCCACATGTCACACAAGGTCCAGTGACAGGTTCCATTAGCGCCTTGCAAACATGGTTTGGGTTTCGAAGTAGCTCAGCAAGTTGAGGAACGCCGCTGATGCTCATCAGGGAACGGCGCTGCACTGGGCCAGCTGTTCCGACAATGCGTCTTGGCTCCATGCTCCACGCAAACTGTGGCTCGCGGTCGCGCTGCATTTTCTGCCTTGCAATGCTTCTACCAAGACCATTATTGAAAAACACATCTGTCGAAGCACCCAAGACCCGACCTACAGCGCAATAGACACTCGCCAGTCCGGGCTTAGGCTTGGCAGTTCGAGCATGTTCAAGTTGCAGAGGTTACCAGGGGTCTGGGCTCTACAACACTGCCAGTCCAGAAGCAGTCCCCACATGCTCGAACGGAAGTCTGGATTCATGTGATACACAGAGTGGTTCGTTCACATCTGCATATTGGAGGTCACAAGACCCGTGTTCTGCAGAAACTGGTCTTAGAGCAGAAGGGGTCGACAAACTGACCGAGCTATCTGAATGAGTCTCGGATGTCCTTTCGGTTTCACCTCTCTGTCACCTCAAAGCAACGGTGAAGCTTGAACCTCTGAAGCCTTTGGGCCAGGCAGAAGGGGTTCGGATTCTCTGCGCTGCTGGGGCCGATCCCTGCAAGCAGCACCCAGCCTCTACAAAGCTTGAGCTGAGGGGTAGCATTTGTTGCCCGGTTTTGAGTCGTTAAGATGCCTTTCGGATTTTGTAGCGCCCCGGAGAGAAAAGGGAATACCTGAGGCTCAAGGACCGCACTTGCTCCATCAGTATAGAGATGACGGGGTATGTCTTAGAGCTTTGTTTTCGAACCGTTCCTTAGTGATGAAGCTCTCGCTTGGGCGGGCCTTCTGGCATGTAGCCACATACCCGGCCGAGTATCAAGGTGAGACGCGTCCAAGGGTAGCGTGGCCACAGGAGATCAAGCTGCATCACGAATATCGACGGAGAACGACTAACACGATTCTTCACCTGCGTACACCACCTGCTTCCTTTGGGGAGCTCTTTGAGACCCTAAATCCCAAGGTGCTTGCCGGGTCTCAATCCATTCAACTTGGCTTCTCGTCAGCAGTCCTAGAGGATTTCAGGTTTCTGGGATGATGGATGATTCTCCTAGATGCGGAATACTCAATACTGTATATCATGGTATACTACCGTGTATCATACACTTTGCATATGACATATTGCATGATATACTTCAAGTCCTAGGTTGCTTGTTGAGACTCATGGTTCTGGCGCGCGGCGGCCGCGGGATGTGCCGCCTCTGCTAGTTGATTAGGATTACTGCACGGCCCCTTTCTGGAACCCAATGGCAAGGACCCTTGAAAGCCTTAAAGTCGACCAAGCCAACAGCCTGAACGTCCTGGGAGGGAGCTTCAGGCCATTCGCATCTTCAGGAGTCTTAGGAAGATCCACCGGCGTGCGGAGTATCCCACAGGTATGGCTGCAGTT